AATAAGTTAGCAAGCTATCATTCATTTGAATGCACAGTGGTTTTACATGCTTTGTCTCTAGATAACTCCGTGCTATTTTTTGCTGCCAGATTTTCACTAATAGACGCATTACATGCCTTCATCTTTCATTTATCTTTTTAAACCCATACAAATTAACTGTGACTCTGCTGTGCCAAGCATCCTAGATTTTACATATCTAATTCCTTGGCTGGAATAAGGAGGACTAGCGTTAAGTAGTTGACAGCCACCCTCAAACTAAGTTGGATCTCTATGAGATACTAGAAAGATGACTCATGCAGCTGATTTCAAACTAAGAAAATAAAAATTTTTGTTGCTGTTTTTATTGCATTGTATTTGTTGTCTAGGTAACATATTTTTTTTGCTTCATTTACTTTTGATGTTTAAGATTTCAGTTCTGAGGTTTGTTGCATATATTTGATGTTTATTTTACATTACCTTTCTCAGATCAACTTCAAATTGGGCTTATAACCTTTGATATGTCATTAAGCATGAAGTATCCAGATCTAAAGCCTCACATAAATGAACTGACAGAGTTGATTGCGCATGAATTGGAAGTCAATGGGAGCCAGGTTAAGTAAAATGCCTCTGGTTTCCTCTGCTTAGTTAAGGCAATTGAAATCCTTCTTCCTGGACTTACTATTCAAGCTGTTGTTTTCAAAAGTTTTCCTTGAAATGGTTATGGATGGTCATACTGTTGCTGTGGAACTTTCATTTAAATTCAGGGATTTTACCAATGTACCCTCGAAATATACCTTTTTTGCACATTTACTCCCTAAGATTTAATTGTTTCCTAATTTATCTTCATATTCCCCAACACAATGTTGAAAATAGCGTTAACGCATAGCGTAACGTTTACCTCCGGTTAGGTTACAATAGCGATAACGTATAGCGTAACGTAGGTTAAATTATTAATTATTGTTTAAATAATTTATAGATATATAACATTCAAAATACTCAGATTTAAAAATTATTTTCACAAATACCCATAATTTAAGGGTATATGTGCAAATCAGCCAATAAACGAAAAAAAAACCCACAATCACCCTTATCCTCTTATCTAAAAATACACATAAGTTAAGGGTATATGTGCAAATCAGCCCATAAACGAACAAAAAAAAACCCACAGTCACCCTTATCCGCTAATCTAGAAACAAAGAGAGAAAGAGAGAGAGAAAGAGAGCCGATCTTATCCTCTTCTGCCCTCATCATCTCCTTCCCCCCTCCTCTCTCTCTCTACGAATCAACCCTCTCTCTCTCTCATCAGTCGTCGTCACGATGAGGACCTGAGACGAATACGAGGACGACGGCCTGAGACGAAGACGACGACGACGAGGACCTGAGATGAAGATGAGGACGACGGCTTGAAACGAAGACGACGACGACGTGGATCTGAGACGAAGCCCGACGACGAAGCCCGACGACGAAGCCCTAATTTCAGCGACGACGAAGCCCTAAGTTCCGACGACGAAAGCCCAAATCCAAGCGGGCGACGAAGCCCAAAATCCAGGCGGGCGACGATGCCCAAAATCCAGGCGGGCGAAGAAGCGGAGGACCTGAGAAGAAGCGGACCGGAGAAGAAGCAGAGGACCTGAGACGAAGACGATGAATGAGGTTAGAATCTGGTTTAGCAAAATAACGTAGGTTAAGCAACGCTATGAATTAACGTCACGTAACGTACGCTACGAAGAATATGGCGTACGTTATTTGCCCACCCCCAACCCCTCGCATTTCTGTCAATAGTTTTTTTTTTTGCTTTCAGTGCAGCAAGCTGCTGCAGCATCTCCAACTCCAAGTAAAAGGAGAATTTTCCAAAAATTCACAGTTATTATTCGATCACTGCATGAACCCAATCCCCTTTCTCTCTCATTCTCTTGTATCATTGAGGAGGAGGCGCAGCGACCATGATGTCTTCTCATCACACTTGAAGCCTAGGATCATCAAATCTAATCGAAGGAATCGGTGAACTTGAACTTACTATGACGATGGTGATTAAGATGAGAGCAAAGGGCACCAATCTGATTGTTTGATGTTAAGTTCTCCAAAAAAATTCTATAATTGGAACTAGATTTTGATTTAAATGTCGAGGGTGCTGGGAAATTGGATTGCTCATGGGGTTGTTTCTAAGTATTTGGGCCCCCTCATCATTGACGAAGCCTTCTGGCCGCCCCTCTCATCCGCAACCCCACCCCTACCCTCCCCCCAAACAGTAATTATTAATTAATTAATTAATTAGTTAAGTTAATTAGGAGTACATTGGTCATATTTTAAAAATTAAATATTTTAACAAAAAAACTAGGCATATATCGAGAATATTCCCTGAGAAAATGATAGGGGTAAATTAGACCAGTCACAGAGAATGTGTGGGTCAATAATAAAAGAGTTTTTGGGGGTATATAGGTGAAAAAAAATCCTTTAAATTATTTGTGGCTGACATTTTTAATTTTTTATATTTGCAGGTCCATTTGACAAATTTTACGAGTATAGTAAATGGTACCCTGATAAAATGTATTATTCTTCCATCAGGATTGGGCTTTATTTCTAATGCAACAGCGATGGTAATATTCTAATATGGAATTTTCTGATCAAGTGGGCCTTTCTAATATATTTTCTGAATATTGGTTTTCTACAGGGAATAATCTCTCGCTTAACTGAACATCGTGTCCGCCTTCCTGAAAATTTTGGAAAATACCAGTTGCTTGAATGGAAAGTAGAACCTCTATCAAGAAGGTATTTAATTTCTATCCATTTATTTATGGTGTTCATTTTACTTTTGTTCAATATAATCACATTTAGTCTGAATTGCTCTGAAACAAGGAAATATTCATATTTGTATTATTACTCTTGATTCTGTTGTATGTTTGTTGTTTCCAATAAATGTCAGGATGTAGCATATCTTATTCATTTGATCTTCTATAGTTAATGGCCAAATATTCTCACATCAACATCAATCCAAAGATTGCGTCAGATTGAAAAGAACCCATGATCAAGTCTTTCTAGTTGTAAGATGTCAGAAGTCTGGGAGGGCTTGAGGTTCGTAATTTATATACAAACTCTTTCACCATTATCTGGGAAGCCCATCACTGATCCTTGGTGATATTATACATTATTTGGTCGGTCATGGTATTATATGTTGGAGTTGTAATAAAGATAACTTAAAACTTGGGTTTGTAGAGGAAAAGAGGAAAACTTTAGTCCCACATTGGAAAAGAGATAGGAAGATAGACTCTTTATAAGCCTTCCCTTTCTCTCCTATGCCTAGAAGAAAACAAAGGTTATGCTCCACACCACACGCGCGCGCCGGCCGGGCCGGGCTCGGGCTCGGGTTCGGGTCGGGTGGCGCGCGCACACGACCTGCGGACACGAATGCCGCTCCGGATTAATGGGCCCTTAATCTGCTATATTTTTATTTTTGAATAATTAAAATGTAATATTTATTTTTGAACAATTAACATGTGATATACATTTTGTAACGGTTAGGATTAAATATTTTGTAACTGTTATAATTAAAATACTGCGGATTTATGGATTTAAATGACAAAAAACGGCTAACGTTAATACATTAATGGGTGAGTAATTAAAACGTGTTAATTACGAGATTATGAGTAACGGCTGTTTTTCCCTATAAAAGGATCTAAAATCCGAAGAGTTTTACACAGCGAAATACAACAAGCTCTTCTTCTCCTTCTCTGTTCTTGAATTTACTTACTGTTACTGTTACGATTTGCTGGTTCCCTGAAAGTCACGAAGAATTCACAAAGCCTTCTTGAAGCTCGTGCCGACGAGAAGGAGGTCGCCTGACCGAGGGTCGTCGTATCTCCGAGATCTATTGCCGCGTAGCCCTGTACGAGAGGGGACAATTAGTTTCTTGGGACAGTGCTTTGCACGCTTCGATCATCAGGCCGTATTTCTAACTCTGTTTCTTTTTCATTTGATATATTTTATATCTGTGTTATAATAGTGATTATCTGTTAATTATTAAATTGCTTAAACTGATTTTCGTTATTGTCTAAACAGCTAATATTCCTAACAATCCAAGAAACTAATTTTGCTGTTTAGAATAGTATCATGATTAGCATTCTGCTTTTTATGTTAATGTTGTCTGCAATTCTTAAAAACGAAATGTTACACTGCATGATAATTCTGTTGAATGAATGTTTTATATATTTCTGTTGCATTATAATAACAAAACTATTCATTCATCATCAGATTATGGCTACAAGTGAAATTATGTCGGCTAAACCAGAGAAGTTTGATGGGAACAATTTTCGTCGTTGGCAAAACTAAATGAGATTTTGGTTAACAACTCTACATCTAATAACTGCCATAGAACCAGATAACCCATCTTCATATAGACCAGTTACTAGGCAATCTTCCTCATCTTCCTCCATAGATTCCGTTCCTATCCCAAGAACACCTCAAGAAATAGAGTATCATTGTCTACACATAATCTTAGGAGCTTTATCTGATAGGTTATATGATATATATTATACTATCACTAATGCTAAAGTTCTGTGGGAAACCCTAGAGAAAAAGTATGGTTTAGATGATATGGGAATTAAAAGATTTAAAGCTTCTGATTTTAACAAATTTAAAATGGTAGATTCTAAACCAATGAATGAGCAAATTCATGAATTTGAACATATAGTTCACCAACTAAAAATGAATGGATCTATCCTAGATGAAACGTTTTAAATAGCCTGTCTTATAGACAAACTTCCCGAGTCAAGGTCAGATTTTGCCAAAAACCTTAACCATACTCAAGGAGATCTTACCCTAGAACAAGTGTTGAATTCTATTAGAATTGAAGAGCAACATAGACTCAGGGAGAAAAATGTGACAAAATCCGAACCCAAAGAACCCAAAGTAAACAATGTTGAATCCAAACCCTTTCCCCAACACAAGAAACGTCCCTTCCACCAAAATCAAAATAAAACATTTAAGAAGAAATCCTTTCATCAAAATAAGAACCCTGTCCACTTTCAAAAGAAGGAAGGAGCTGAACGTCGAGCCTGTTTCGTTTGTGGACGAACCAACCACCTTGCTAAGGACTGCTTTTACAAGAAGACAGAACCACCCAAGCCTAGGAAGGGAGGACCTCCACCTAATAAGTCACAAGTAAACATGGTAACTTCCAGTTCAACTGAGACTGCTTTCAGGTCTGTTCTCTTCACTCCTGAAGTAAACATGACCTTTCAAGCAAATGATTGGTGGATTGACACTGGAGCTAATATTCACGTTTGCTCTAATCAATCTTTGTTTTCCACCTATCAGGTCTCAAGTAGAGGAACTGTGACAATGGGAAATAATAATGTGGCTCCTGTATCCGGAATAGGTCGGATCAACCTAAAGCTGACTTCTGATAAGACTTTGATCCTGCAGGATGTCCATCATGTACCAGACATTAGAAGAAACTTAATTAGTGGATCTTTGTTAGTGCAACAAGGCTATAAGCTTGTTTTTGAATCAAATAAAGTTGTAATAACTAAGGGTTTGAACTTCATTGGAAAAGGTTTCTTATGTGATGGTCTTTTTAAATTGAATGTTAAGAATTCTACTCTTGCATCTCCAATAGCTTTGAATATTGAACCTTCCATCACTTGGCATCAAAGATTAGGACATGTGAATTATAATTCAATTAAAAGATTGATGCATCTCAATATAATTCCAAAGCTTAATATAAAAGATGATGAAAAATGTGAAATATGTGTAGAAGCCAAACTTCCTAAGAAACCATTTAAAACTATTGATAGAGATTCTGAGATATTAGAACTCATCCATAGTGATGTTTGTGATTCAGGAAGAACAACTAGAGGGGGTAACAAATATTTTGTAACTTTTATAGACGATTGCTCTAAATATTGTTACCTCTACTTAATTAAGACTAAAGATGAAGTCATAAACAAATTTAAAATATATAAAGCAGAAGTTGAAAATCAGTTGGATAGGAAAATTAAAATACTAAGATCAGATAGAGGTGGTGAGTACACTTCTAATGAATTAAAACAATTCTGTGAAGATAATGGAATTATTCATGAAATAACTGCTCCATATACACCTCAATCTAATGGAGTAGCTGAGAGAAAGAATAGAACACTAATGGACATGGTAAACTCAATGTTAATTAATTCTGGTGTGCCAGAAAATTTATGGGGAGAAGCTCTCATGACTGCATGTCATATACTAAATAGAATTCCATTCAAGAAATCTGATAAAACCCCTTACACAATTTGGAAGAATAGAAACCCTAATTTAGATCACCTAAAAGTGTGGGGGTGCTTAGCAAAAGTCAAAATACCTGAGAATAAAAGAAAGAAGATTGGCCCTAAAACTGTAGATGGAATTTTTATTGGCTATGCTTCTGATAGTAATGCAAATAGATTTTTAATAATCAACTCTGACATTAATGAGATAGCCAACAACACCATAATTGAAGCTAGGGATGCACATTACTTTGAAAATATTTTTCCTTACAAGACCAGAATAAACAACACAGGCCCTAGCTCTAATAATTCAGATCCTAGTTCTAATCAAGGTGAAACTAGTTCTAAACAAATTAGACCACTAGAAAGTCCAGAGGAGCCTAGGAGAAGTAAAAGAACTAGAATAGAAAAGGTCCATGAAGATTTCTATGCATTACTTGTAGAAGATTCTCCAGTTACATTTGAAGATGCAATGAAATCAGTAGATGCTCCATTTTGGAAGGAAGCTATAAATAATGAGATACAATCTATAGTTCAAAATCATACTTGGGAACTAACTGATCTTCCTTCAGGATGTAAAACCATAGGATGTAAATGGGTGTTTAAGAAGAAACTTAGACCTGATGGAACAATAGATAAATATAAAGCCAGATTAGTAGCTAAAGGATATACCCAAAAGTCTGGTATTGATTATTTTGATGTCTATTCTCCAGTAGCTAGGATTACTACCATTAGAGTCCTCATAGCTCTAGCATCCATTCACAAATTAATAATACATCAAATGGATGTTAAAACTGCATTTTTAAATGGAGACTTAGATGAAGAAATTTATATGGATCAACCTGAGGGATTTATAGCTTCTGGACAAGAAAAGAAAGTATGCAAGCTTATTAGATCACTATATGGTCTCAAACAAGCCCCAAAACAATGGCATATGAAATTTGATGAAATTATACTATCTTATGGATTTGTAATTAATCAAACAGATGAGTGTGTATACCATAAAATAGATAAAAACAACAAAATTGTGATATTATGCCTATATGTTGATGACATTCTTATTTTTGGTTCTGACATACAAATCATAAATGATATCAAACACTTTTTATCACAAAATTTTGACATGAAAGATTTAGGTCAAGCTGACCTAATTCTTAATACTAAAATCATGAAAAATGAGAATGGATATGTGCTATCACAATCACATTACATAGAAAAAATCCTCAAGAATTTTTATGATCCAAACTGTCAACCTGTTTCCACTCCATATGATCCTAATGTACATCTAAAGAAAAATACAGGTCATCCTCAATTACAAAGAGAATATGCACAAATAATTGGATCATTAGGATTCCTAACAAACTACACCAGACCTGACATTGCTTATGCAGTAAATAGACTTAGTAGATATACATCAAATCCTGATAAGAGTCACTGGGATGCTTTAGAAAGAATTTTGAGATACCTAAAAGGAACTATAAATTATGGTTTACACTATAAAGGTTATCCATCTGTACTAGAAGGTTA